TGGCCCTGGCCGTGCACAGAAAGCCTGAAGCAAGACAAAGAAGGCCTTTTGTTGTGACTATTCTGTTACCTTGGGTTAACGGAACGGCAGCCACTTCTGCACGGTCCCAGGATCTAGAACAGCTGGGAGCCTGGGCTGCTAGAGAAATCAGCTTGAAATGCATCCTGTTCCTTCCATTGTCTCCCTGAACTTCTAGGAGAATTGCAGAATCCATCTCCTATAGGGCAATGGAGGGAAGGGGGAGATTTCTGTTTTAGATTAACAGGAGGATTTATCATGCCAGGTCAATATTTACCTTGGCTTCAGCTTAGTAAGTATTTACTTCTCTGTTCAGTGGCTCTCTCTGCTGACTTCAGCAGAAGCAAAGATCTGCTTTTTGTCTGCTGAAGAGGATGCTGACTGATATTTTCTTATCAGAAAGGTCTGGAAACATAGTTGTGGGGGAGTCCACTTCTCTGGTGTAGTGGGGGTGGGGGGTTGCCTTTTTCCACCAAGTAATCTGATCCCTCTTTGTACAAACAGTCTTTGAACTTACAGAACTGGGAGAGTACAAGATCCTGTACAAATCACTTCTCTCCTCTCCTCATCTGGAAAATGGGGAATATTGAGAACCTCTGACCGTCCAAGTCAGAGCTGTGAGCATTTGGCGGGCTGAGGGCTCAGAGAAGCCCCACGGGCCAGTATAATCTGGTTTTCATTTCAGCAGGTCCAGGGGGTTAAGTGATTGGTGAAGGTCACTGAGGAAGCAGGAGGAAGGGGCCAGTGCAAGCTGGGTCCCAAAGCTGCATCTTTACCACTTGATTTCTTGGGCTCTGTGACATTGGACTCTCCTGAGTTTTCACATCTGGGGAGGGGTGTGGCCACAATTTTGAGGTGCAATGCTCAATTTTGTGCAATGCACAATTTTGAGGTACACACACAATTTTGTGTGGAATGCTGACCAGAGGTCTGAAATTTGAAAACACACTGGACCTTCCAAGCTCTTTATTCTAGGGCTGTTTAGACTGTTCTAAACATTTTACCCCCATCAAGACTAAGTTTGGGGCCCATTGGTGGTGCAATTGGGTGAAGTGCAGCACTATGGAGCTATCTGCAGCCACTGCAGCACAAATTTGATCCCCGGCCAGGGAGGTGACCACATAATGCAGCGGACCTCTCCTGACCCGCCCACTGTTCCTCTCAGCAGTGTGTTTCAGTAGATCTGCTTGTTCTGCTCTCCAATCCGTCTTTGGTGAATCCTCTCAAGCCTCCCTCTCCCCAAGCCTCTGGCCTGTATCCTAGTTCTTGTATGCATAAATAAATAAATCTTTAAAAAAATAATTTTGATCTTGCAAAGTAATGCTAATTGCATATTTCATTCAATCATATTCCCATATATATTTTTTTTCTAGACTTTTTTTTTTAAAGATTTATTTATTTATTCATACAGAACTGGGGTACAGGCCAGAGATGCGGAGGGTGAGAGGATTCACCAGAGACAGAGTGGGGAGCAGAACAGGCAGATCAACGAAGTACACTGCTGAGGGGAGCAGCGGGCGGGTCAGGAGAGGTCTGCCACGCCATGTGGTCACCTCCGGGGCAGGCGGGAATCGAACTCATGCGGAAGCGGCTTTAGATTCTCAGTGCTGTGCTTTAACCCGCTGCGCCACCAGGGAGGGCCCCCATATATATTTTAAAGTAAAGTTTTGTTCTAAATCACTGACCATGAAGTAAGATATACCGCTTATCCCATGCCTCAGTGTCATACTGGGTGGCTCCAGTATGGGGGTTTGAGAGGGGTGGTGGTTTTCAATTTTATCCCTCACTAAAGTGCTGCAAATAATAATAATAACATTATCTGAGCATCATTGTCAGGGCCATGATTTCTAGTATTTTATGTGAGTAATTAATTGGATTATTTTTGAAAAATAATTATTTATGCACACAGAACTGGGGTACAGGCCAGAGGTACTGGAGGTGCAGTGAGAGGATTCACCAGAGACACACTGGGGAGCAGAACAGGCACATGGACTGATATACACTGCTGAGCAGAGCAGTGGGCAAGACAGGAGAGGTCTGCTGCACCATGTGTGCCTTCTTCCTGGCCGGGGATCGAACTTGTGCTGCAATGACTGGGATAGCTTCATAGTGCTGTGCTTTAACCCGTTGCACCACCAGGGAGGACCCTCACTGGATTCTCTTAGCAGACCTATACATTAGGTGCTGCTGTTATTCTGGCTTTACAGATGCGGATGCTCAGAGGGGTTAGGTAACCTGTCCAAGGTAGCACAGTGGCATTTGTGGCGGTTACTACCAGTGTTCCCTGGGGGTGTGCTGATTAGAGTGTGATGCCACACAATCCTTAATTTTTCTTCCCTTCCCTGGACCCACTGCAGGGCAGGGATGTGTGTGCTGCTGCTTAAAATCTTGCCAACTAGGTGTGGGTATATCCACGGCTGCCTTGGAGATGGGAGTAGGGATGAAGGGTAAAGGAATTATAAACCAGACGTGGCAAGTCTTCAGAAGTCAGACAGCCCATTGTTTATTTTCTATATGAAGACGCTGAGGAGGACCAGCACGGGGAGGGCTGACTTCAGGTCACCCACTGAGGCAGCACGGGAGCCAGGAGCATACATGGGCTTCTGGCTCTTGGTGGGTGGCTGGTACCACACTTCTTTTGTTGATTTTACGCATCTTCGTCTTTTTAACCTCAACATCCAAATGGAACCACTTGTTTGCACACAACTTGTTAGGACTGCTTGCTGTCTATTTAAGGGAAAACAGGCCATTTTCATGCCTCCCTCAAAAAATGATATTAGTGGGCCCTCCCCAATAGTGCAGCGGGTTAAAGCACTGCACTGAGAAGCTAAAGCCACTTTCGCATGAGTTCGATCCCCCCCTGCCCTGGAGGAGATCCACATGGCGTGGCAGACCTCTCCTGACCCACCCACTGCTCCCCTCAAAAGTGTGCTTCATCCATCTGCCTGTTCTGCTCCCTGTTCTGCCTCTGGTGAATCCTCTTACTGCCCCTGCACCTCTGGCCTGAACCCCAGTTCTGTATGAATAAATAAATAAATCTTTTAAAAAATGATATTAGTACTTGGAGGGTGAGAACCATGTCATTTGCTCTTTAACACCTTTGCTGTACCTAACAGACAGCTGGACACACAAGTTCTAAGTTTACATTCACGGGCTTGAAATGAATGTATTGTCCTAAAGGTAAAGGAGGGCCACACTGGAGGTTTCTGGGACATGTGCATTCTTTACCTAAAGTTTCCCATCCTAAAGAGACCCTGCAATCTGCAGGGTGGACTGTCTCTTCCACCTCTCCTTTCTCCTTCGCCTCTCCAGCTTGGGTGTAGCCTGTACCCCAGGAAAAATGAGCTTAAGATAATACTCAGTTCTTGTTCCCCCACTATAATGCCTGCAGCATAAAGCCATTTTACAGCAACATGGAGTTTCTCTGGCCTTTAAGATCTCATTTATGCAAGATCTCCTTTATGCAAGTAAAGGAAAGGAAGGAGGAAGACAGAATGCTTACAGATTCCTGGGGGGAGGGGGGGGAGATGACCTCATCATTTATCAGATGTTGGCTAACTGCCCAAGGAGCACAGTTGAGATTCCTTTTGGGGAAGCACTGAAAGTCCCCTGATAATAGAATCTTTAGGGCCTTGAGAGAGGGATGGAGGGCGAGATGAAGGAAGGAAGAGTTTCAAATTACACTATTATTAGGGGGCTGTCCATTCTGAGACGGACTCTATTCATCCTGTGTCCTCGATAGAGACTTGGAAAGTGTGGAAATTCCATTGAAAAGACCATGGCAGGACTTGAGGGCATTGAGTGGATAAGGATGGTGGTGTGGGCAGAGGGAGAGATGGGCTGGAGATGGGATACCGGGCTAGGCACTGAGGCTGCACTCGAGCACACGTAGGGCTATGGAAGTAAGAGGGAAAGCCCCCGGGAGACTCTCGACACATTTCCGAAAACATTTCCCTATCTTTCTCTAACAACAATCTCAAACTTCTTTTACAAGATGCATTGCAACGCATTAAGCACTTCCCGTAGGCATTTCACAGACTAGAAGCTCCTGCCTTTTGAAGCTAGATTTGAGGCTTCCGCCAGCCCCTGGGATGCTTGTCCTAGAAAAAGAAAAAGACCCCAAGCTGGGGGGTGGGGCACATGCTGGATTTCAGGTCCCACCTGTACCTTGTCAGAGTTCAGTGCAGTGGCAGCCTGCAGCCCAGAAAAGACCAGTTTGGGTGCCAGCTGGAGTTGAGACTCACATCTGCAAAAGGGGACATTGCATTACACCTTCCCGCAGCTCCTTTCCAGATAGGGTGCCTTTTGGTTCTGGGACGACTTCGCACCTCATGCTTTATTGGTCCCCAGCTACTTCTTACTTTGGAGACACAGAGGGCGGGTAGGAGCTAGTAGAAGGTAGAGAGGGTTCCGTGGAAAGTCGGATTTGCAATGGTTTGGTCCAGGGGCCTGTATGTATTTTTCTGGTTTAACTTTTTTGACCCTCCGTGGATTTTCACTTATGAAAAAAGGCAACAATGCCCCTTATATTAGAAGGTAGTGTGGTGGCGATTAAACGTTATCCAGGCTAATTGCCAGGTAGAGCGCACATGCAATAACCGTTTGAAGATCCCAAGGTCTTGGGTTGAGATTTTAGAATGTGTATGCTGGGGACCCAGGCGCAAAGTCTAGCTGGAGGGCTGCTGGGCTTCAGGGACCCTCAGCAGACCCCGAACCCCAGTTTCAAAGGCACGGCCTCCTCCTCGGCCCCGGACGGTCTAGGGTTAAAGAAAAAGCCCCACGCCCCCTTGACGGCGCAGAGCCCACCTCGCCGAATTTGAAAAGGCGGCCCAGGAGAGGCGTGGGCGCCCCCAGACACTCCAGCTCGGACCCGGGTTCTGCTCGCTCGCCGGCGCTCGCTAGCTCTGCTCCCGGCGGCTCCGCGTGCACGCGGGTCTGTACCCCCGCCCGGGACTCCGGGTCCCCGTGGGCGGCCGCGCAAAATGAAGCTGGCTCTCCTCCTGCCCTGGGCGTGCTGCTGCCTCTGCGGGTCGGCGCTGGCCACCGGCTTTCTCTACCCCTTCCCGGCCGCAGCCCTGCAGCAGCACGGTTACCCCGATGCCGGCGCCGGCTCCCCGGGCAGCGGCTACGGGAGCCGCCGGTGAGTAGCGAGGGGCGGCGGGGCCTGCGGGGCGGTCGGGGGCTGCGGACGGTCGAGGACTGGGTCTGGGGGATAAGGGTCGACTGGGCTAGGGGAGCGGGGCTGCGGAGCCTGGGGGCCTTGGGGTCTGGGGGCGCCGTGCACGCAGGGCGCTGGTGTTTGGAGGTGGAGGGACTGGGGGCGCAGCGGGAGTCCGGGCACCAGTGTCGGGGTGGGGTGGGGGGAGGGGGCATGGGCCGGAGGGACAGAAGGTGCCGGGCTGGAACTTCGGTTGTCTCTGGCCGATCCAACAGACTCTTCCTTTCCTTGTTCTCCCAACTTCGCTCCTTCGGCGGCTCAAACCTGAGGGCTCTGCGCGCGCGAGCGTGTGGGTGTGTGTGGGGGTGCGGGGCTGTCTCTGGGCTCGGTGGCTCAGTCCTTGGGCGTTCACCCGCTCACGTGGCTCCACCGCGCTCACCTGCGGCCGCGGCTTTGTGCTGGAGAGCAGGTTCCGGGGTTGCCGAGGCCGTGTGTCCCAGCCCCCGCCTGCCTCTCCTATTGGTCGCCCAGAACCCCGAAGGGCGATTTCGTTCGGCCTCTGGGGCTGTAGTGTCGGAAGAACCCTGGCTGCAGCACCCTCCCTCCCTCCTCCCCCTGCACCTGGGAACCCCGAGCCGGTGGGGTAGAAGCAGCGCCCGGGTTTCTGAGCCCGAGGCGCCCTCACCCATCCGCAGCTTCCTATTCGCCGGCAGGTGGCGCCCTGGCTGCCTCCAGATGGTCCGGGCAACCGTCTCCTCACCCCAGGGTTGAAATCCCCCACAAAAAGCATGAACACTCTACCCAGTTTCCAAACGCTCCGCTCGTGCAACTCATTCAACGTTTGCTTTTTCCAAATTAATCTCAATTGCCACTCTGTTCCGCTCTCTCTAGAGCACACAGCCTGCATTCGGATCAGTCATCTCTTGATTCTAAAACCACCTCTGCGCTCGCTATTGGAGTACCTCTTTCCTTAAAATGAGGAAACTTGAGGCCCAGAGGGAGGTCCCCGAGTCGTGGCAACTAGAAACTGAGCTTCGCTGTCTTCTTTCGCCAAATCCTGTGTTTGCGAAGCCACATTCTGGTGATCCTTATATAGAAAGGAAGACCCCAGTTCTTCTTTGATAGTAACCAAGCTTGGGAGGGAGGCCGAGGGGACTTGCCAATCCCCGACAGCCCAGAGGCAGGCATATTCTGTGCTGGGAGAGCATGCACTTAATGGCTGGATAGGCGAGTCTCAGAAAGCATAAAACTGCTTCTGGAAAACTTTGCATGCAATTTTATTTCCTTCACTTTGTTTGGAAATACTTTCCCAAGGCTTCTATTAGTTTTATTCTCCAAACACCCATAGTAGTGTGGTCTCTGCTCATTTCCATATGAGAATATCTAAAAAATAAGCTTTCAAGTTGCAGAATGATATGTATAGCGTGATCTCACTTATGAAAAAAAAAAATCTGTCTTATAAACTGCCCAGAAAAAAATTTGTAGGGAACCATTTCTAGCAGGTACCTACCTGGAGAGACCCGTGAATGGACCAGGGGAAAGTAAAGAGGTCCCCTATTTTTCTCTCTGTCTGCTTGTGTCTGGTTTGCATGTTTTACACGAGTGTGTGCTCATGGATTCACTTTATTATCAAAGAGTGTGGGAAGGGGGAAATGCAGAGGGACTGTGTTTGCTGGCGGGGAGCTAGAGGAGGAGTCCTCGAAGGCAGTAGTGAGTGGGGAAGGGGCCCTGGTGTTTGGTAAGCTGGAAATGTGTATACCTGCTGAAACTTGCAGGTGATTGCACAAATAAAAACAGGTCCAAATAAAAAAAAAAAGAAGAGGCCCAAATAAATGTGATAGCCTTCTAGAAATCTTTCCACCAAAGTGGGAGCAGGAGGAAGTTATGATTAGGTATGGGGAGGATCTGGATGAATTTGTGGAAAACGAACTCCTGAATAGGGACAGTTTGCGGGAGGAGGTGAGGAGGTTGGGGGCGCGGTCCAGATGCTGGGGATCACCACTGCACAGCCTGGCAGAGACAGCGAGCCCCAGGGGCCAGGGCAGACTCCTGGGCTTGTGGCCGACTTGGGCTGACCTCACGTGACACATTTCTGTGTCTCAGGCACTGTCAGTCACTGGTGGCCCGTGTCTGTGAGATTCAAAAGTAGAGGATGTGGGGGCAGCTTTCTACAAGGTGCTCTTCACAGCTCTGGCTCCAGACATGTGCTAACCATGGCTTGGTCTGTCGACCCAAAAAGTGACAGGTGTTTCTTGACAGATGATCTTTAGTTCACATTATTGTTCCTGTTGGCTCCTGCTTTTTGGATGGGGACTATCGTTGTGTGTGCGCTTCCTCTCTATAGAGAGCTGTGCACTAGGCCCACTCTGCTGCATGTGTCTTTAGCTCACGCTTTCCACAAGGGTGCAAACACCTTCTGCATTGTTTTTCCTCATTTAAAAAAAAAGGTAAAATCCATATAGCTTAGAACTTAACCATCTTTAGGGGTACACTTTAACCATGTTAAGTACATTCGTAGCGTTGTGAAACCACAACATGTCCATTTCCAGAACTTTCTATCTCGCTGGCACTCGTCTTTACAGCTCAATAATTCTATATGCTGTGAGTGATTCTGGCTTATTCATTTTGACTGTTGCTGGTCATTGTTCCAACCTTTTGTGTCACAAATAAAACTACATGAAAACCTTATGGGTTATTCATTTCACATTTTAAAATGTGAATCTTTAGGGTACATTTAAAGGTTTCCTGAGTTAAAGGGTACATGCATAACCACTCTGCTAGTTAGAGTGTCAAACTGCCCACCATAGGCACTAGACCATTTTTCATCCCTTAAAGTTTTTTTCTTGTGGTACTTTTTGAAGAAGTCATTTTAATGATGCTGGGTTAAAATGACCTTGTGGGGATGAAAATAGATTTCTCTGGCCTGTCCCACCTGGGAGCCTAGGTTACCCTTAACATCTGTTGGGCAAGGCTACCAGTGAAGGCCCACGCACCATATGTGCAAATATTTAAAAGTTACAAATCAAGCACACAAGCTGCTAAATAAAATACTTATTTACTACAGACATACTCTGCTAATGACTAGAGGGTTGGGCTTAGGTTTTGAATTCTTGGCCTCCTTAAATTTTCCATGACTTAGTCGTGCAGGGAAAGCCAACCTTCATTTCCCTTTTCATCTCACCTAATACCTCATGTCTGTTGGGGTCTCATGCACACAGTGTGACTCCAGCTCTGTTCTGGTCCCTGCGACCTGCAACAGCTGTCACTTGGCAGGTCTGGGTATGTGTAGCTATTGGGAAGAAAATTCCAGGTCTCTGAGTATTTGCACTTTTTCCCCTGGGGGTCATGCCCCCTCAGCCCCAGTCTCCTCACTCTGTGGAAAGTGGTGTGGCTGGAGGGGGTTCAGAGTGGAGCTCTCAACAGCACAACTCAAGGTAAGGCACAGCGCTCACCTGTCTGGGACCTGGCCAAGCTCAGATCAAGTCGCTCGTGCTGCTGGTTGTGTTAAGTGAAGTGAGCTGCGTCTACCTGGGCCCCTCCGGGGGTCTGGACTCGCGGTCCTGGGGGCAATGGTCAGGTGGACACCCTGGACATAGGGACCCTTTGTCCGAGTGACAAAGACATAAGACAGGGGAGACTATGGGCTGCTCACTCCGGGGTTTTTTCTGCTCTTTTAGGAACATGGCTATATTCTGACCAGATGTTCAGGGTTTTTAACCCATTTCCAGACTATTCTAAGAAGTGATGGATGGAATTCAGAATTTGCAACTGCTTTGTTTTCCATTTAGAAACTCCGGCAAGTCAGTCTGAGAAAGGCTGTGATTCCTGCTATGACTGACATGTCTGGACCCGGCTCTTCTTCTCCTTTTCCCCTTTACTCTCTGTGTCTCTCTCTCCCCCTCCCGCTCCCCCTAGCCTCTCATGCCCCTCATGTCTTCCCAGGCAGAGCCAGCTTTGGGGCTTTTGACCAGGAGGGTCGCCTGTTTGGGGTTTAGTGCTTTGCCTTTACCACTTGACATTCCCAATGTTCCTGGAGTGTGTGCCTTGAAGTGAAGTCTGCTGGGCAGTGGAGCATCGTCCAGGACTCGAACCTTAGCTGTTCACCCCCACCCCCTCGCACCCCAGCCCACCAAACTTCCCTTCTCCATTTTTGCTCTGTGATTACTGTACCCTCTGCATGCAGGTGGGGCCTTGGGGTTAGCTTCAGGAATTGGGGGGATGCTGATGGTTCTCACAAGGTTGTTCCCTGCAGGTTGTGGCCCCTTGGGAGGGGAGTTGCTACCTTGACTTCCCTGCCCTACCTGGTGCCCCATGCTCAGCCCCATGCTGGTGGGAAGGGTAGCATGGGAGCGTGTTCGCGCACCCTAGAGGCAGGCAGGGTCTGAGGCTACCCGTGAGGATCTGCACTTGTCCTGCGAGCATCCCTCGCCCCTTGTCTGAGGGGCACAGGTGAAATAGTAGCTGACAGGTTGAGAGAAACGGGGAAAGGTCTGTATTTTACACCTTTGACTGCATGTCTCCCCAACTTTTTGAATGAAGAGTCCCCACAGCTTCATTTTGCACTGTGCCCCACAAGTTATCTAGCTGATCTTGCTCCCCTAAAGTCGATACATCATCCCCTAAACAGCAGGGTTCTGACTGGTTCCTCAGGACAAACTGGGCAGATGGAAGAATTAGATCTCCAGGCCCAAACTTGACTCAGGAAGTTCAGGGTCCGGAGATTGTATTTTAATGACCTTCCCAGGTGGTTTTTCTGTGCAGCAGGTTTAGGAAGCCTTGAGATTCTTTCATCGAGACCCATAAGAAGTCCCTTCTGTAGGGGGACAGGGTGTGCCTGCGCTCATGTACTTGCTGAGGTCCAAGCATCTGCAAAGCTTCACAAAATAATACTTGCTGTTGCCACATGTGATGCTCTGTTTGCTCTTGTAGTCTAATTCATAAAAAAGTGCTGCCAGGACTCAGAAAATTGATTCCACAGCCCC